TTTGATTTCTATTGTGTAAAGTTTATCATAAATAATATAAAGAGGGATACATTAGTGATTTCTCCTCTTTCTTCGTCTTTCATCTTCTTTGTCTTTGTTCTCCTAACTATTTGTCAAGCATACCTATCCTAAAGAGATAAAGAGGGGTATCTACAAAAGGATACTCGTATGTCTAAGTCAATCCTCGATTTCTCTTAATTAATGCAATTAATGTCGTAATAAATGTTAAATAACCTGCCTTCTTTCTCTAGATGTTATGTTTATTTATACTAACTTTATTGGACATGAGTCCATGTGGTAGGTCCAACAATCATCATCATGCCTCCCATAATGTATACTCGCTTATTTAGTTGATTCTTAATATGAACCAAAGAGTTCTCAGTTCTTATCTTCCCCTATAAAACTTAATTATAGATATCTAAAATATGATTTGAGTGGAAATATAAAACTTAAATTCAATAAAATTTATTGATAATAAAAGTTATTTATACAATCTGCTAATCATAATTTGTGGTGTATTATGATAAAATTGTTGAATTTTTAATATTTTTGAAATATATATAGGATGATTTTTAATTAGTTTATATTGTAAAAATATTTACGTTGCAAATCTAGGAAAATTACTTGCATTTATTTCTCGTACTTTCGCGATTTTTTCAAATTATGTCTCATGTCCCAAATTACAATTTTGTTTATCGAGAACTAGTTTATTTAAACTAAAAAAAAGTACTTTTTTTAAATAAAAAAAAATTCTTTTAAGAAAAATATATAGATATGCTTCTTTGAAACAGAAAAATTATTATTTTTAAATAAGTAATTTGGACAGACACATTAAAAAAAAAACATAAAATTACTTTTTCTTTTTATTAATAAAACATTTGTTGAAAAAATAATTCAAACAAACGGTCCAATGCGTCTTTTCTTCAATTTATTTCAATAAAGTCTTTAAGATGACTTATGAAAAGTAACTTATACATCAAGACAATTTAACCTAATTTTCCCTTAAAAATAATAACATGTATATAAAATAATTATGTATAATTGTTTATAAAATAATTAAAAACTCATTTGATAATTAAATTATTTACTTAGACCCCATTTGAAAGAGTTTATGAATAACTTATTTATACATATCTTATTTTATAAATGTTTATAAGAGTATTTGGACAAACTTATAAAATATTTTATGAGTAGTTCATAAATTTTTTGAACTTATTTAAATAAAGTATCCAATATAATTTATTACTTAACATATGCGAAAACTTATTGAAAAATATCCAAGTCTAAATCTTGTTAATGATGTAAATTTTTATTTTTATTTTTTATCCTTGCACTAATATTCAGATTTATATATTTTTTTATTATTCACTCTAAAAGCTTTTTTTCCTCTCTCCAAAAGTTTTTTGCTTCTCTATATTTTTTCTATTCTCCTATAATTTTTTTTCTATCTCTTCCCTCTAAAATTCACACTCTCCTATTATAAAAAAAAATTATAACTTATTTTTTCTCAAAAATAACACATGAAATAATTTTGTTGTTAACATTTATACAATATTTTTTAATCATTATTTTATAAAATATATAGAATTAATTTTTAATTTTTCAAAATTATGACTAGCTCTTAATTTTTAATCAAGATTATACATATAAAATTTACTTCTCCTATTTTATTATAATTTTTTTTTGAATTAAAATTAGGTGAATAGTGACTAGTGATTTTTTTTTCATTTTTAATGTTATTGTGATGTATAATGTCATTTTTAAAATTTATTTAGTTACTTTTTATATTTTATTTTACTTTTAGTCAAAATTTAATTTGATATGTTTAAAATTTAAAAATGAAATAATATCTTATAAGTAATTAAATATTAATATATCCAAAGACTTTAAAATTATATAAGTATTTTTCAACATATATATCTAAATATAACAACTTATTTAATTTTAAATATTTATAACATAAGTTATTATTACATAAGAATTTTTTATATGAGATTTCAAATAAGTTAGTTATCCAATACCTTAATAGATTTATTTTAATCAAGTACTTATTCGTTGTTGCTCACACCTTTAAAGATTTATTAAAATATAACTTATTCCTATTGGAAGTCTGTTGTCATTATTAGGGTCACCGCATCCAATGTATTATCCACTTTAACACTCATTGAGCGGTCACGATTTTGTCATTTAAAAGACGTCTTGGTGGATTAAAGAGGGAGGATAATTATAAATTACCCTTAATCTCGACTTCTAAGCTATGTGAGACTTTTAAACATATCGAAACATAACTCTTTCAACTAAATTATCCTTTCATTTTTTTAAGAGGAGAATATGATTTTTAAAATTGAAAATAAATGAGATTAAGAATTAATATTTCTTTCAAGAGAGTGTACTATTACCCTTTTCTAAATATGCTTCGTGTTCACAATCGAATCACATCACATAAGGGACAACACTTACTCCAAGTGGTTGACCACTAGGCCGAAGGCTTGCTTCAAAGAATCATTGCCAGAAATTAAAAATAATTTTAATTATATTATCATGTCATTAAAGAAATAACTTTTTGGATTAGCTAGCTAGTTAGTATATATAGTCAACCACATGACATGTAAGTATATTTTTTTTAGCAACTATGGTATTAATATAAAATATTCATGATAAAAAACAATGATTAATTGCTATTAAAAATTGTGAGTGTACATATTTTCTTTTTAATATAATTTATTTTATATCCAATGTAAGGATATAAAACTTGAATAACTTAATTAAATGACACAAATCCCTACAATGTCAATATTTTAGTATAAAATAGTATAAAAAATTGTTCATAACAAATAAAAATCAAATTCAAATATAAAAATCTATATGTTCGCATTTAATGTTAATTGGTTATTTTAAAATTATTTATAACAATATATAAAGAGAATATATTTTTTAATGTCTATTTTTTTCAAAGATAATTATACTCCTATATTTGTATTCTAATTTTTTTCACTGATATATATTTAAGGATAAAATAAAAAAAAATGTATAACCAAAATAATAATTACTTTTTAAAAAATAATAACTACCCCTTATTTTTAAAAAAATTATGGAGACACAAAATAACTTTTTCATGCTACTATCACTACAATAAAATAGACTTTTAGTGGCATTTAATATGATTTTTAGTGGCAATAAAAATTGTTACAAAATCTTTTACCGGCATTTTTACATTAGCCATTGTATGCAGTGTCGCTAAAACATTTAGCGGCAATTATTCAAAATGCTGGTAAAAACCTTTATAATGGTCGAAAAAAGTGTATATCTTTTTATAACATTTTTTACTTTCTAGTCGATGTGGGACTTGTAAGATGAGTAAAAATAAATAATTACTTTATCTCTAGTTGATGTGGGACTTGTAAGATGAGAGTTATCTTTCTACTTATATATTCTTTTTAATTACCTTATTTATAGTTGATGTGAGACTTTAAGATGAAGGTTGTCTTCTAATTATATATATATACTAATTTAGAATAATAAGTTATAGGTCTAACACAATCCTATATAACAAACTTGTAAGGTGAGAGTTATTATTTATTTATATACTCTTTAGTTATCTTATTTCTAGTCGATGTGGGACTAAAGTTTTTCTTAAAATAATTGTCGCTAATAATAAATTTTGGTGTGATATAAATATATTTTTAGTGACCATTATATATTAGTCACTAATACTTTTATTAAATAATAAAACAAAGGCAATTAATTTATTGCCGGTAAATAATTGTCGGTAAAAGTGAATTTTGTTGTAGTGTATACGATAACCTAATTATGTATTGCCTATACGTAGAGAAGGCAATACGTGGTCCATATTATAACAATGAAAGTTTTACAATGAGGGTGAGTGTAAACTATATATATATATATATATATATATATATATATGAGGGAGTTATAATTATACCGGTAAAATTTTTACTAAGTATTATACCGTTCAATAATTTTATATTAATTATGAATTTTGTACATTCAACCGTTAGATTAAAAGTTCATATCACTTTATACGTGTATATCAAATTTTGTTAAAATTGAACAACAACTTGAATGTAATTAAAGTGTTCATAATTTAGTGTATTTTAAAATGAATATATTATGTCAATTTTATCTTATAAAAATGAAATATCAAATCATCTTGAATTAATATAAAATTTTGTATATATAATCTAAGAATAAAGAACTTTTAATCTAAGAGTTGGATTTACAAAATTCATATTTAATATAAAGTTATTGAGTGGTGTAATACTTAATAAAAGTTACACCGCTATAATTATAACTCCATCTATATATATATATTAATATTAATTCAAATACTATTAATATTTAAACTCATTTGAAAATGTCCCACTAATGTGGATGACATCTTGGACACAATTCATGCTCCACCAGGTCCATGTTGAGCTGCTCCACAATGTCCAATGCGAATGATCACGTACCAGCTATCTTCTCTGCTAATTTTACCTATAATGCATATCATTCTTGGATTTTTAAACTAACTCAAGTCTTCATACGAATTATTTGCAGTAATATATGTCCCCCCGCAATTTCAAACCCCTACATAATATGTGTTACGAATTCTGAACTTTCCATCTTCATTCACATGCTCGTAATTTTATGCGCGTTTAATTAACTAGCATATAGTTAAAAATACTAATACGATAACATTATTAATTATAATGTGATGTCCCCACAAGTGTTGTTCCTCATTTTACCACTTGTTGCTTTGGCTCATATAAATTCTCGAACGAGCAGAATAGGAATATATATATGTTCACACACATACAAAGAGAGATATCACCATCCTTCTCAGTCTCTCTCTGTGATGAATGCTGATTTTGCCCCGTAGTTGGTGCTCATCCTTCAGCTTAACCCTCCTCCATTCAACACAAACACACACAAAGTTTATTTTTCTTTCCCT